TGGAGTTTTTGCACTTAGAAAAGGTCAATTTCTTTGTTTTTCCGATCAGAACAACTAAAAAGGGTGAGATTACACCTTCCTTTCGTGCCAGTTCCCCCCAGCCCAACACCCCACACCCGAGAGGCTTGGGGGCTTTGTGTCCTTCCAGCCACCCTGCATGGGACCTCAGCTGGAGGTGACATTCCTGGTGTCTGGGGCCAAATCCTGACATTCCAGTGCTGTTAACAAGACTGAAGCAGAGCGGATGAGGCCCCTGCTCACATCCGTGTCCCTGCAGTGTCACGGGTTGCAACAGCTCCGGGGGGGATTTGCTGGGAGCGTCCATGTCCTGCCCAGTGGGTGCTGTCACGGTTCCCACATAGATTGTCCACACTCCTGAGCAGTGAGTCAGGACGTTCTCAGGTCATTGTTTCTCTCCTTATCCCATATTACTCTATATATTAGTTTTCGACACATCCATTGGCCTTCAGTTTCAGTTGGTCTCATTACTGTTGAAATACGGGCTTTTCCCTTTATTTCACTTATCTTCTTTTACCTCCTGAGGCAGTCCCACCTCTCCCCAGTGACATTCAGGACTTTTTTGGGCTATTTGCTGCAGCGATGTGGAAATGCTGCTTCCTGCAGCCACCATGTAACTCATGTGATTCCATGAGAAAAGTGTGGGAGGGCTTTCTTTTTCTGGTGAGCATCCTCAGAGCAGCACAAGGTGGATCTGCAGATTTGGACAGGGGCTGTGGGGTGTGCACAAGAGCCTTCCCAAGGGGATTCCCACCCTGCTGGAGTGGACCTGACCCAGTTCTTCCCACAGGAGTGCCCAGCTGGGGTCAGCTCAATCCTCCTGGTCTGTCCCATGATTTGCTGCTAGATTTGGACGTGCCTCAGCTCTGATAGCTGGATTGCACCCTGACAGTGAGATGGGAAGGCTGCTGTGCAGCTGTTGAACATCTGGCTTGCACACAGGATGTGTAACGTGTGTGTTGCTGCCGTTCTCCTGCGCTCCTGATCGTGCCACCACGCATCACACCCCGAAAGCAGCGTGGGAAACCTGCCTGGGCTCCGTGGGGGCTGGCAGAGGGGACAGGGATGGGGCAGAGACCATCTGGGCTGTGTTTTTGGGGTGCCCTGCTGGCACAGACTCTGTCGGGTACAGGGGACCTAAAGCTCTTCTGCTCCACAGAGTTGCCTCATGACAAAGCCTCTCCCAGAGCTGGGTGACCTCGAGTGGCCAGAGCTGGCCAGCGTGGGCACATTGGCTCAGCCAAAGGGGCCATGAGGCTGTTCCTGACTCTCTGCTCCTGCCCACAGATCGCTCCATGAGCAGCTCACTCTCTGCCTCCCAGCTCCACACCGTCAGCATGAGGGACCCGCTGAACCGGGTGCTGGGTAAGGTGGGGATGGGTCCGTGGGGTCACATCCAACCACTGGCACACCACTGGGAAGTTCAGGTCACCCACAGCCTCCCAGAAGTGACTGTTGCTCTCTCCCTGTCCCCACAGCAAACCTCTTCCTGCTCATCTCTTCCATCCTGGGGGCCAAGACAGCCGGCACCCACACCCAGTTTGTCCAGTGGTTCATGGAGGAGTGTGTGGAGTGCCTGGAGCAGGGCAGCCGTGGGAGCATCCTCCAGTTCATGCCCTTCACCATGGTGGGTCCAGCAGCTGTGACACCCCTGTCCCTGCTTGGGGGGCACCTGGGTCCCACAGGATGGGCACATCCCAGGCTCCTGGTGACACTCACCTGTGTTTCTCCTCTCTCCCTGGGCAGGTGTCAGAGCTGGTGAAGGTGTCCACCATGTCCAGTCCCAAAATCGTCCTGGCCATTACTGACCTCAGCCTGCCCCTGGGCCGTCGTGTCGCCGCCAAGGCCATCGCTGCGCTGTGAGCAGGGCTGCTCCAGCCAGGGGGGATCCCTGAGGAGCCCAGGGATGTTCCTGATGGCTGGGATGGACTCAGTCACTGCAGCTGCTGGAGAGCTGCTCCCTCAGCACACAGAGCCATCTCCTCGCTCTGCTTTGTGGCACTTTTGAGACTGAGACACCCCCCTAATTTTTTTAGTTGTATAAATCAATCCTTTTGTACAACCAGCCTTTGCCTCATCTACATTTGGGCTCCTGGAACTCCCAAAACCCCCTCGATTCTGGGGGTGATGGAGAGCCAGTGGCCAAGCCCTGTGCTGGGCAGGAGGGGAGATCTTCACCCTGTCCCACACCTGAGAATGGGTGGTGGGCAGCCTGTGGTGCTCTGACTGGGAGTGGGCGCTGCACTGGGTGGGGCAGGGATGCTTCCCTGCTGCGCTGTCAGCCACAAGCGGGATCTTGTTGGGAATTCCACCACATGAGTGTGAGTTCTACTTGGAATTCCTCTCCATGAGTGTGAGTTTTTGTTGGAATTCCTCCCCGTGAGTTCAGTCCGTGGTGAGCACGGCATGGGCAGTGGGTGAGTAACCGTGACCCTGGCAGCACCACACCGGCCTCGTGCTGGGACAGGCTCCCCTGGGACTGTCCCCACACCCCATCAGCTGCTCCAGCAGTGAATCCTCTCAGAGCTGTCACGAGCTCCTGTCCCCGAGGGGGTGGCAGGGCCAGGGCGGCTGCACCTCTGCCCCTTCCACTGGTGTTGACTCACAAGAAAGGGGAAAGCGGGCACCAGCCCTTCCCTCAGGGCACCGTGACTCCAAGCCCACTCCTGGGGCTGGGCTGTGTCTCTGCCCCCCTCGGCACCAGTGGGGTTCCCAGCCCTGTTTTGGGAGGCTGTGAAGGGAGCTGGGGCACAGGGTGATCCTGGAGCAGTGCCACAGGGGCTGGTGGCCAAGGAGGAGGCAGCAGGACAGTGACTCAGGGCCGGGCTGACCCCATCTGATCCCAGAATGAGCTCAGCTCCCGGCAGCTCCCAGGATTTGCCGGAGGGAGAGACCCCGATGCACTTGGGGTAGCTGCAGGTGTTCCTGGTCCTTGGCCTTCACACACAGAGCATCCTCCCCTTCCCACCGGCCCCAGGGGTCCAGCCCGTGATCCCAACCCGGGGCAGCCGGGAGCAGCTGCGGGCTTGGGTGGGGCACAGAGCCTGGCACGAAGCGGGATGGGCTGGGATGCCCTCACCGAGCCTGACACTGCTGTGAGTCCCACCCTGAGCTGGCACCGACCCGCCCAGGCACCTCTGCTCGCTCAGGGGCAGCTCTTTACCGTTAGCCCGGAGCAAAGAGCAGGACCTGGCGTGGCCTTCCCAGCTCTGTCAATATTTGCCGAGGCAGCCCCATGCCTGGCGTTGGCACCGGAGCTTCCCCTTACAGGAAGGGGCTGGAGCAGGAGAAAGGGGTTTTCTGTAAGCGAGGGAGGAAGGAGGGAACTGCTGCCCGTGGGGTGTGTGCAGCCAAATGTCCACGGGCGAGGGCTTCCCCCTGGCAGTTTGTGACCCTGGGGCTCCAGCCTGTGCCAGCCCCTGCCCAGGGCTGACAGCTGGCAGGAGGCAGGAGCTGGGAGCCCTGGCACGCCCCAGCACTGGGCTCTGTCTGGGATCATCACTGGGATGAGTGTGGTGAGGGATGCTGGTGGTCATGGGATGTGAGCGTGGGCCCGATGGCAGGAAATGGGGCTGGTGGAGCTGGGACAGCCCAGGGTGGGCAAACACCCATTGGGGAGAGGCTGGGGGTGCCCTTAGGGGCTTTCTGGGGCAGGGGAGATGCCCAGGGCTCTCCTGCCATTGCTCAGCCACATTGGGGCTGCCTCCTTTGTCCATCCTCACTGCTGAAAGCCTCCTCCCACCGTGGCAGCTCTGGGCACATCCCTGGGCAGCTCTGGGGCAGATTCCTGTGTGACAACAGCAGCTAAAGGGGGATTGGGGACCCCCCCAGTGCCACCAGCCCCAGGATGAGCCCACAAGCCAGCTCTGGGCATGATGCCGGTGCCCTCGGCAGGCGCTGCCAGCGCGGGAAGCTTCCGGAGCTTTCTAGGAATCGGCTCTTGCCCAAGCAGCGCTGCTGGGCGAGGGAGGAAGCAGCTGTCCCACGGTGCCTCCTGGCCCTCAGTGGGCTCAGGCTGTGGGGTGGGGGCACTGGGGGGGCTGCATTTCATCTCTGAGCTGACACCAGCAGCCACAGCCCCACCCCAAAGTCCCATTCCTTCATCCCCCGTGTCTCTGTCCCTGCATCCCCACACCCTGGCCACTCTGCCTCCCTCCCACACAAGCAGGAGACAGTGGAACAGAGAGAGAGAGTGCAAAAATAGAGTTTATTTCCTTTTTTATCACATAGAAAAAAGCGGGTGTTTCTTAGGGCTCACCCAGCTGCAGCAATAAATACAGTACAAAACCCCCCACGCCCAGAGCTCCCACACAGCCACGGGACCGGGGCTGCGTCAGGCTCAGGAGGATGGGAATGTGTCCAAGTGGCTCTTTCCGGCCAGGGGTGGGCACAAATAAGTTAAACTGCAATAAGTATTCCAAGTTTAGCAGGGAAGGGGGACAGAGATGCAGCTCCCCAAAATGCTGGGGCTCCCTGGAAAAGCCTCATCCTGGTGAGGCTGCTGCATCCCTATGGTTCTTCCATTTTGCCTCCCCTCCCTCCCTAATGGCTAATAAATATTAATTACTAGAAATAACACCCATCAGATGTGTCCCTACAGGCTGCAGCCCGGACAGGGAGATGCTGCTCTGGAGCATCCTCATCCTGGAATGAAGGTGGTTTCCTGTGGGATGCTGCAGCAGCCCCAGCAGTGCGAGCTGTGGGGAAACTGAGGCACAGGCAGTGCCTGCAGCAGCTGTGGGTGCTCAGCCCAGCTCCAGAACCTCATAGCAGAGATACGCTTGTGTTTAAATATTAAACAAGGGTGATGCTGCACAGGTACCTGTGCACAGATCCACCACAGGATCCCCTGGCACCTGCCCGGGGCCGCAGGTGGGGGAGCATCCCCAGACAGATAAATATTAAATAGCCATAAATATTAAATAAGCAGGAAATGGGGTGCTCTCGGGATGTCCCTCAGGTGGGACATCCACAAACAGGGGTCAGAGGTTGGCGAGGTGCCGCAGTGCCCGGTATGCCGTCTCCAGGAACCGCTGGAAGTTGGCCAGGATGAAGAAGCCGCCGACTTGGTGGTGGAAGTGGGAGGAGAAGGTGGGGAGGGGGTCCTGGTTCTCTGTGGGGTACGTCACCGTGGCCAGGTCCAGGTCCTCCATCTGCAGCCAGGCAGAGGCATCAGCTCCAGGCCTGGAGATGCCCCCTGCCCAAGTGTGCCCCTCCTGGGGCTGCAGCCCCCACCATGCCCACCCCTCCCTGTCAATGCAGCCCCCACCCTGCC